TCAGTACCCACTCAATGGCACCTAACAACAACAACAAAGATTTACAGCATTAGAAAACCTCTACAAGGTCGGTATGAGTCAGAACCAACTCATAGGCACACAATCACCACTACTCTAAGACCCTTAGTAAGGATCTTTTAGTCTCTAAGGCCAAATGAAAATTATCTGAGGAAGCGCTATACTGTTTTCCAGAGTGGTTGCACCAGTTTGCATTCCCACCAACAATGTAGGAGAGTCCCAGTCTCTCCATATCCTCGTAAGCATTTACTGTCCTCTGCTTTTTTGAACTTAGCTATGATTGCTGGTGAGAGATATCTCATTGTTGTTTTGATTTGCATCTCTCTAAAGGAGCTCTTGTGCAGCAGATTTGCCTAATACAATACGTCCTTTGATTTCTTGGCTACTGCTTCTGTGAGAGTTGATAGTTCATCCAAGAAGAATGAAGTCCTTGACAATGTCAATCTTTTCTCCATTGATAAAAATGTTGTTTATTGGCCCAGTGGTGAGAATTTTTGTTTTCTTTACATTGAGATGTAATCCATACCAAAGGCTGTGCTTTTTAATCTTCATCAGTAAATGTTTTAAGTCCTCTTTCCTTTCAGCAAGCAAGGTTGTATCACCTGCATATCACAGGTTGGAGAAAGATATCATGTTTGGTGAGGTGGAGGGTCAGAGAAAAAGAGGAAGACCTCCAATAAGGTGGACTGGCCAAGTAGCAGCATCGATGGACTCAAGCATGGCAACAGTAGTGAGGATGGCCCAGGATCGGGCAGTGTTTTATTCGGCTGTACATAAGGTTACTATGAGTCAGTACCAATTCGATGGCACCTAACAACAACAACAAAAGGAGCTCTCAGAACTGGAAAGCGAAACGTAAAAGACTGAAACAAGACCTTTGCCTCACGCCCTATATACAAAAACGAACTCAGCATGGATTAAAGATCTAAATGTGAATCCCGAAGTTATGAAGGTCATCAGTGAAAGAACAGGGACAAATCTGAGGGTGCTAATTCAGGGCATATACAGACTACCACACATTTTGAAAAGTACATAAACAAAAATAGGCAAAATAGATGAGTGGGACATACTAAAAATTAAAAACTTATGTGCATTAAAAGAATTCATCAAAAGAGTAAAAAGGGAACCCACAGATTGGGAAAAAAACATAGATGATACAACCTTGCTTGCTGAAAGTGAAGAGGACTTGAAACATTTACTGATGAAGATCAAAGAGCACAGTTTTCCGTATGGGTTGCATCTCAATGTCAGGAAAACAACAATCCTCACCACTGGACCAATAAACAACATTCTTATCAACGGAGAAAAGACTGAAGTTGTCAAGGACTTCATTCTTCTTGGATCAACTGTAAACACTCGTGGAAGCAGCAGTCAAGAGATCAGAC